GGGGCCGGCGGGGCCGCCATGGCGGCGGGGCGCGGAGCAGGACCCACAGCAACGGCCGCGCCGCGCGCTGCATGGCGACGGCGCAGGCGCACAGCGGGGAGGGGGCGGGCGCTGAGGCCGCGGCGGCCATGTTAGGTGAGGGCGGCGGCCATGTCAGGTGAGGGCAAGCCACCGTCCCCGCCCCGGTAACCGGGCATCACTCCCAGTCCTTCGGTCGGTGGGACCGGCGGCCTCCTCCCTGCACAGGCCAAGGGTTCTCCGGCTCCACGATGGAGCAAGGCCTCCCCCTCCGCAGGGGCATCCCACCAAGCACCTGCCCTGACTTCAAGAGAAGGTCAGCCCAGGCCTTCTGGGGCGCAGAGCAAGTGTCACACACGCACCCACAGGCCTTGGAGCTCTTAAATCCTGTTTATTTCATTTGTGCACCTCACACCTCTCGCATCACTACATTTCTACGAGTAGGGGACAGCAGGAGACAGAGATGGACCTCTAGAGAGGGAAATGGGCCTCTGGAGAGGGCAGTCCCATTGCAAACATTAACTTCTGAGAAGTGTTTGTTTAGATTTTAAAATCTAAGTAGTGCATTGAGAGAGAACCATGCCCAGCAGCCCCCAGCCCAGGCTGGTGGTCCCCTGGCAGGGTGGCTGCCATGCTCAGGAGCCCTCGGTGTCGGTGTTGTCGCTGCCGGTGGTGTTCTCCCAGTCGGCCTCGTGGTGTCGGTCAGCTGGTGCCCTCCGCAGGGCTCTTTTTCTGAAAACAACACATTTCCTTTTGAGAAGAACGTTTTCTGCAAAGAAGTGGCATTTGAGTGCTTTGGGGAGTTCAGTGGGGAGGTTTGGTGTGTTTTGACCCACTTGGTGTTTCACTGAAGGTGAGGGTTTGCTCGCACACCCAACGTGAAAGCCGAGACTTGCAGCAAGCATCAGATAAAGAGAATTAATCTAAGTGAAGACAGCCTTAAGATTTCTTGAAGAGTGGTGTATTGTTGCTGCTTTGTTGAATAAGCCAAGGAATCCTACCCAAAACAATCACAAGAAGAGTTTAAAGTGCCATAAGGAGCATTTCTATCTCATGCTAGAAATAAGGTACCTATTTTACAAGGTTTTCATCCGTCTCGTGCTCCATAAAGGCAGTGATCAGTGAAGACACCAGGCATTAGGAGGACAGGCCTTCAAAGAGCATTTGAAGAGGACAGAGGGTGGAAATCTGCTCCATTCACAGTTGTGGGAGCTTGGAGCTTGGACTTGACTGTCAGCCATACGTCAGTCAGACAGACAGACAGACAGACAGTGAAGGTGAGGCAGATTTCACTTGCATGGGAGAAATCTATCACATTTATTAAACTAGCAATTCTTTGGATTGCCCTCCACTCCCCGCTGTGGAACCATCTGCATGGTCCAGAGCAAATGCCATCATTGCTGTCTTGGGTACCTCTGGTACTAAAGCAGGAGCCTCAACCAGTTCAGCCAGAAGCGTGAGCCTCTGAAGATAGGATTTGTAATGAATTTGTGCCCTCCATGAATCAAACTTGGGGACAGGGGAGGGACAGAAAAAAGAAAATACACACAACAAGCTTATCACGGGTATGTCTGAATTAGTCCTGCTTACTAAAGTTCTGACCTTCGGTAACGCTCGAAGCAGTCCTTCATCCTCCTCCGCTCCTTTTCTGCCAGTTCCTCGTTGGCTAAGCCACACTCCTTGAACTAGAAAGAAAAAACAACAAAAAAAACTAAATATGAACCGGATTCCTCTGACGATGAGATCAAAGGTAGCAGCAGGTACTGCAAACCTGCTCTGCAAAGGATGCCGGTTTTGGGGCTGATGCACCACATCTGGCCCCTGGAGGGTAAAAGGCCATGGACCACCCAAAGAAGCTTGGTCATTTCTCCTCTCAGACTTGTTTGTGTAATGAATCATTTTACGTTTAAATGAAGAAGGGGAAAAAAAAGGGAACCTGTGCCTGTTCACTACCAAACCCCTGCTCTGGGAAAGGAGCCCACAGCTCCCTCCTGCGTCTGCTCGGGCCTGCAGAATGAATACAGCACGTTCAGTTCTGGGCTGTCCACTGTCGTGTGTGCAGCGTGGTAATACAGCTATTTCACATAGTTTTACAGTCTTTATTCTCTCCCATTTGTAAATTTGGGATTCTGTTTCCTGTACCAACAGTAATACTAAAGACAATTAAACTGGAAAACATCCATACCCAAAGATGAAGGCCAGAAAGTAATTAGAAGATTCCAGGCAGAGATGGAGAGATAACCACCATAAATGTTCTGCTGTTCAGAGCTCACCCTTTTTGGAAGGTGAATTTTGCACAAAGTGCTCAGATTTTGGAAAAGTGGTGGCTCCTTAGATGCTTCTCAAACCTGGTAAAATCCATAGTTAACAAGAACATTGAAGATCACAAACCCCAGTCCTAGTAAAGAAGAGCCCACAGAGATTCTCTTACACTGGGTGACTTCGGGGGCAGACTGCTCTCTCGAGGGCTGAATTGCTGGGTTTGTTCTTCAGGGCAATCTTCTAAGAGAAGGAGAAATCACAGCTTTAGTCATAGTTGCCATTGCAAAGTCACTTCTCCCTCCAGCAGTCCATCCAACAGCAGTAGCTGCAGCATAGGGGCTGCCCAGCACCACACACAGTCGGGAGCAGAACTGAAACCTCCGAACCTTCAGGGTTCAATCCTGTGATCAACGCGCGAGTCACTTCCCATTTCACTCAAACCCTGCATCTTGCTTAGGATGATGGAGTTCCCCACCAGGCTCAGAGAGAGACAGCAGCTTTCTAGTTTCTCCTTAGGCAGGAGCAAATCATTTTTTAAAAAAATCACGTTAGAGTTCGCCATGAGAAATCATGTTAAATCAGTATTTTAACCATAATTTGTTCCTGTTCCCCAACAACTACATTGAGCGTATCAGGGCACTTCTCATCAGACCATATTTTAGTGAAACTCCTTACGTAGTGATCAGGTATCACGATAGATGTTTTTGAACTGAGCGAGGCAGAATAATAAAAGGCTTTTTGCATCACTGTTGTTTAGCTTTTGTGAAAAATTTCCCAGCTCAATGAATGAAAAGATCATTTAGATCTTCTAGGAGATCAAAATAGAAAACTTTCTGCTGCTGTGCTCGTTTCCTTCCTTTCTCAGCAGGTTTTGAAAGAGAATTTCTGGCTCTTAGAGGAGCCTGTTAATTCCTTTCCACGCTGCTGAATCATTTCCACTGGTGATGCCACAGAAACAGAACCAGTGACAGAGTTAACTACAAGGTTCTGCTCTTGTGAAAATAAACTGTGACACAAAAGGGAAGGGGGGAGGCAAAAATCCCTGGAGAAAGCCACATGGTCCAGCAGAAGTGGAAGGGTGTTCTATTCTCAGCTCTGCCACAAATGCAAGAGGAGTCAGGGGGAAGAGGCACCCAGGGGCTATTTCTCAAAGGCACCAGGTTCCAGGTGATTTTTCCTGGACAAAATTCAGTAGACAGATTGCCTAAAAAAAGACTGGAGATCCCCAGTCAGATGACCTGTTCTTCACTAAAAATAAAACCCAGGAATGTCTTTTCCTGTCCCTTTGAAACACAGGACCATGTTCTCAAGAATTCTACTCTATGTTTTCCCAAGAAAAGCCTTACTTTTAGTCGGCTGTGTATCTTCATCTAGGTGACCATGAGGAGTAAGCTACGGGACAGAAACAAAGCAAGAATGTGAGAACTGCCCCTTATTCTGTCTCACACAGTAGCTGGGAACAGACAGAGGAATATAAGAAACAGGATGTGCATAAAACCGACCTTTCCCTGCTGCATCCCTTGCCAGCAAAACTGGAGACTGAGCCAGAAGTTACTCATGGATTTATCCCCCATTAATTGATCCTGTTCCTTTATACTGGATTTTATACTTTTAGCCTCCGGACAATGTGATATTCACTTCCACACTGAAGTTATGAACTAAGCAAAAACCCTTCACTACAGATGTCCCCAGGTAAGGTCTTATTTTTGCCTGTTTTCCCACAAGAGAGACAATTAGGAGCAACTCAAGATAATTCAATTCCCCTGATTTGCTTAGACTCAACAAATCTTGCTGACTAACACCATAACTGTGTCCGACACCTAGAAATCTCAGGACACAGAGAGATTCTGGCACTGGTCTGTTTTGCTGCCTCTGTACTTTTGGATATCACTGAAACGAGCCTGAGCCGTGGACTGAAACCTGGTATTACTTAGAGAACTGAGCACAAGTGAGGAATTTTAAACCAGAAGAAAGTAAAAGGCAAACAAGGCACCCTACTCACTTCCTGGGAATCTCTGGAGGAGGTGTCATCCAGGTCAGAGGTCTGAAATAAAACCAGTATAAATTAATCATTCCTCATAAGCAAGGAAGTGGCAGTAAGTGAATATTCAAGAGACTGAAAGATCCAGAAAACAGAGAAGTGTGGTCTTCCTCCCTCCTACGCTCCTGTCTGATCACTCAGAGGAACTACACAAGATACCACATTAAATAAAGCCCTTGTGTATCTACTTTCATTCCAAAAAACTTTAGCACTCTTACACCCTCCTCCAAATGGCTCATACATGGTCTCTAAACAGAGTTCATCTTTGGTGGTTGAGGATCCCCTCATCACCTTTGGACACGCTCCAAACACAGAAGGTCTCAGCTTGCATCTGTGCACCTTCTCCCTGCCTGGAACCAGGGTGAGGCAATAGGAACTGTCACAAGTTTCACTTTATTAAACTCAGGGTTTGCATGGAAAGGGTTACCCACGCAGCTGGGCACGGCCTTGCTGGATTCATACTGGTTAGGTGCCTGTACTCTCAACTCATCACACAGATGACGACCCCGCAGACGTACCAGTGAGGGAAGCTCCAGTTGCAGCCGTTTCAGCTTGGCTTCGGTAGCCAGTAACTGACTCTCCTTTTGGAAGAGCTGCAGTTGCATTTCGTCACATCGCTCCCCCAGTTCCCGGATCTGCTTGCGGTAAGCGTCCCTCTCCACCAGGTTCTTGGAGTACTGCGCGTAGAACTGCTCTCGGGTCAGGAGTGCCTGGTGGAAGGGACAACATGACACGGCATGTCACACAACAGCACGTTCAGGGTCACAGTATTTGCCCACTTTGAGCAGGGAAGGAGGGATTAGCGGCAGCTCCAAGAGGAATGTTCCATCACCTGGTCTCTTTCCGAAGCCACTTCCTCCATCTGCTGCAAGACAGCTTCAATCCGTTTCTTATACATCTGGGAGTCCTTCCTCAGAGACGTGCACTGCAGTTCAAGCATCTCTCTCTCCTCTGCGTACTGGTGAGACAAGGTCAAAAGCACCCTCCTTGTGGGCAGAGCCTGAGCCAGACCCTCAGCCCTCCCGCTCGGTGACACAGATCGCTGTGGCCAGAGCCCTGTGCGATCTCAAAGCTCAGCCAGACTGTCCAGCTGGAGCAAGGCCAACCAGAAGGTTGGTCAACCTCATGGATTTACACCTACCTGAGCCACCAATCATGGTAAAAGCTCCCATGGCTCGGGAGGGAAACCCTCCAAGCTGAGGGGGCAGGAACTGTTAATTAACACAGGCAATAACAGGTAACAGTTAATGCCACACAATGCTAAAACATTAGCGTGCCTTTTTTCAACAAACTATAACACAGACACTAGAGTAGGAGCAGCAAGGATTGGTGCCAAGCAGCTCCTGTGCTCCATAGACAAGACCTTGGAGGTGCTTCCTCTGCCTGTCTCTCCCACTGACCCTGAGCAGGAGTTTGCAGTGCATCACGTACTTTGTCCTGAAGCACCTCGGCTCGTCGCAGCTCCTTGCGAAGGCTGTAAATGGTGTTCATCAGCTCCCGGCGTTCTTCTAGTATCTGGCTGCAGTCATTCTCCAGAGTCTCATTGGAGAGGCTCTTCTCCAAATTCTGTTCCCTGGCAACCTGCTGGACAGAAAAAATAAGTGAGATACATCTAACTCCATATTAACTCTCTTCCCACAGTCCTACGTGCTCTATTTGACCTGGGAGAACAAGGCCACAGCTAAGCCTCCAGTACTCCCCGTCGCTGCTCTGGCTGCTACAAGTAATCACTTCTCAGGAGTCCGTAATTCAACCACCCCCACCAACCTGGAGAGTGTTCTCCAGCTCCTGATTCTTGGCCAAGAGCAACTCCTTCTCCTGCTGGATCTCCCACATCACCTCATGGCTTGGACGCTGCTCTATGGCGTGCTTCAGTTTCATGGTGTGCTTACGCTCCAGTTTGCAGTCATCCTCTGCCTTCATGAGGCTGTGCTTCAAGCGATCGATCTACCAGAAGGTTCAGAGAGCTCATCAGTAACAAAGAGAAAACTCTGGCCTGCAAAAGTCTGGTGCCCAGCGCAGCCTTCCAGGGATCGGGAAAGAAGGGGGAAGCTTTAGAAGAGGGTGACTGACCTCTAGGAGCAGGTCCCGGTTCTTCATGAGGGCAGCGCTCTTCTCCTCGCTCTGTTTGGCATAGCTCATTGCCAGGTTGTAGTTCTCGTCCTTGCACTTCCGCAGCTCCTTGCTCAGGCTGTCCCTCTCCTCCTTCATCTTCTGCGCCCGCTCTTGGTGCTTGCGGAGCAGGCTGTCCCTCACCCACATCTCCCTGATGGTGTCCTCTTTGGAGTGCAGCCACATGGTGAGCTCCTGGGCCTTCCGCCTCTCCTCCTGCACGGTGCTCTGCAGCTTCATGATCTCATTCATCAGGAGCTGGCTCAGGCCGGATTCCCCTGCGGTGTCTGTTTGGTGACAGATGTCAGCCACCACTGTCCTGTCTGCTCCCTGAACACACCTACAGCACAGCTTCCCACCCACTGATCACTGCAGCTCAGGACCATCACACACCACACAAAAGTGTGCAAACCCTGAAGACACATGTGATCAAATTATCCCTGCTGTTTCTCTGTCACAACAGGCAGAAGGAAGAATTGATCCTTCTGCTTCCTCCTCCACCCTCCCAGGTCCAGCCCGTGACACCAGACAGCAGGGACATTCTCCCAGAACCCTCCTGAAGCACACAGGGAACGCTCCCAACTGCTCCCCGAAGATGGGGAGAGGCGAAAGTGGAGGTGAACCCCCCCTTAATTTACACAGCAACACCAAACGAAGAGCTGGTTTTTCAGAACACAAAACTTTACCTATAATCAGAGAGAAAACCCTGCTGGGCTCCTTCCCGGTTATTTTCTTATACAGTTGTGGATAATAAAGCTCAAGACTCTCCAGAAAAGCCTCAAAGCCCTTCTGTCCCGTCCGCTGAAGAATGTCCAGAAGAACACCTGAAATAATAGCAACAGGATATTCTATTAATTTATTTATCTCTTTACCTGTTTCTGATGTAATAACAAATCACTCCACTTTCTTCACAAGCAGATTAAAGTCACTGGGATAAAAAAAAACCCAGCCAATCCTAAGACAATCACCCAGTAACTATACAAAAGCATTTGAACTGTGGAGGACCAGTTAAAACTTAACCCTAGTACTTAAGTCCTACTACAGTGGGTGCAAAAAGCTGATCACCCTTTATGTTATCCTGCTGATAATTACAAAAAACTTAAGTTAAAACAAAGAACCACGACAGTTTCTGCAGCTTGAAGCTCCATTTCCAAATACGAGAAGCACATATGGAGAAAAAAGGGCAGGGATAAGCCTAAGAGAGCCTGGACTTACAAAGTCTTTTTGACTTTAAGCTCAGTTCCCTACTTTGTCTAGAAATATCTGTACCAAATCAGGCCCAGGGATTTTTCTTTATTGTCCTGCTTTCCAATCTGGAAAACAGGGAAAACAATTTTTTTTCCATGACCTTCAGTAAGTTATCACTAAGAGTTAACCCAATCCAAAAGATGCACTAATAGCAATAATGAATTCTGTGATTCTCTCTGGTTGGAACAAGACCAGGACCGTACAGAAGAGTCATGAAGACTTTACTGACTCTGCTGCCAGCATTCCCTCAAACACCAGGAGACAGGAACGAGGGACAACACGCACTGAATTATTCTTGGAAATGTCCCCCTGCAAAATTATTCCACAAGAAAAGCCTCGTGAAGGCTGCACTTCACCCACCTGCCTTCCGTTTGCGCATGACCAGGCTGGGGTCGTTAAGAACTTGCTCCTCATCATCATGGCTGATCACCTTGCACTGGCGGAGGTAGGGCGTGATTCGGGAAGGGTCTATCACGGAGATCAGCTTCACCCGGAAGTTCTCCAGGTTATTCCAACACGTCTCATCGTTATCTTCTTCCAACATGTTGGGGAGCGAGAGGTACCAGTGAGCAGTGTTGTCCTGTCTTGAAAAAACAAAACCAAAAAACAAACAAGGAGACTCGAAGCCTCCCAGAGTAGTGGGGAAGGGGTGGTGAAACCAACTACGTTAACAGACTGAGAATGGAAGTGTCTTTTAGATACAGGAACACATCTCCCACACGGTCCTTAACTCAGCGCCTCCAGATCACCTGCAGAACATGGTGATATACAACAGTCACACCTGAAAGAACAGCAGGTTGAGGTTAGTGCCAGCACTGCTGACACATACGTGAAGGAGAGCTAGGGGGAAACTCTAAGAAAAGAGAATTCTTCAAAGCTCCATGACCTCCTTCCAACCAGCTGAACATCTCCCAGAAGATACTCTGCTCTGCCTGACATCAAACCAACCCCAGCAGGGTACAAGAAATGCATTCCCCTCTTGGTAAACACCACATCCTTCCATCAGAGCTGTAAAAGAAGGGTTTTTTTCTCCTTTTAATTAACATAAGCTATTTTGCATTGTGTTGGACCAACCTGAGCCTGTGCAGTCAAAGGCCTCTGTGTTTCTTCTCCTGGTGAAGCACCACCCGTCTGTGTCCTGTCTCTGAGAAAACTTGTCTGGGTTGCAGCCCCGCTTTATGTTCTGAGCATAGATCGTTCCAGGAGCAAAAGTGGTTTAAGAGAAGCAAAAAGGGGAAACTACTCAGCTACACTCTGAGACGGGAAAAGGAAATTGGGGCGGGGGGGGGGAAGATTAAAAAAAAGGGGGAAGCCAGAATGGATGATGGGGGAGGAGAAAAGCGTTAGTCGCATTACGAGTCAGCAGCATTTCATATGCTCTGATTTTAGACTCACTCCAGCTTTGTTTTCCAGTCTGTACCACTGAAGTTCCAGCTAGAGTCCAGAAAGTTTCTGTGTGTAGGGCTGAGGAAGATTAAAAAGAGTGAAGGTCACAGGCAGTGGCCTGTCAGCTGATTTCAGGGGACCAAATAAGGCAGAGTAGAAGAAAGAGGCTCTTCAAACGGCCTTTTCAGCTGTCACCATCACATCTTCATACAGAAAAGCGGGTGGCAGCAAGAACTCTGTCTTGGTTTAGAGTTCAGCTGAAAAGGATGATTTCTATAATGATGCCTCTAATTTTGGATGTCCTTAAGCTTCAAGCATAATTATGACAACTCAGTATTTTGAGGGAAAGGGAGTCAAGTCTTGGCAAAGCGAGGAACATAACCCACGATTCCCAAATTACAGGCTGTGGCTCTAACAGTAATTAAAGGAGCAGCACAGCAAGCAGCATTGTGATGATGTTAAGCATCAACATCATACCTCTGACTGCCTCCCCGCCTTCCCACAGTCCTGAACTGCAGCTGCAGCAAGAACTCACTAACAGGCTGTTTTAATAAAGTCTCCAGAACATGCACGCTCCGATACCATGGCAGCATGACACATTTTCCCATTAGCTTCCCACTCTGCTCTTTGTTCTGCTTTCTAAGTTTCTGGAGAGTTTCTCCATGTTATCATTAAGAGCAGGGCAGAAGATGCTCAGAGATTCTTTAAGCCTGTGCTGCTTTGTTAGGCATTAAATTAGCTTTACACTAAAAAAAGATACAGTACCTCTATTAGCTATGCCCTTGCTGAAGGTAATCAGAATGTCTGCTAATTGACCAATCTGGCCTCAGGAGTTTTTGCTCTATAGTAAGAGATTAATCCTGAAAAAGAACAAAGACAGCTGCTTTTGTCGTTACACTAAGTTTTTTGTAAAAAAACCAAGGCATTACAAGGGCATCCCTTGAGCAGCATTCACAAAGGACAACAATCAAATGTGAGGTCCAGCACAGGTCACATTTGCTACCCCTTCCTCACGTAAGAGCCCTGTGGTGAATCCCACACAGAACCTTAGGGCAGAGCTTCTGCCACATCTGAACTTCTTGGAAAAGTGTTATCTATACCAGCTTCTGGAAAATAGAATAAACTGTGAGAGGGAAGCCATGCCAAAATCATTCCTTTTGCTCCGTATCTTGCCACCCAATTACAGCAACACTGGTACCCACTGTCCCCCTGACCCCAGCGCTGCCTCAAGGGCCCTGGTAGAAGAGCTGCAGGTCACAGAGCTCTGAACTCACCACTACACCCTGGGGAAGCTCAGCCAGGGCAGGGGAATGAAGCTTCTGCAGCACCTTCCCACTAGCAGCTTTGACTCAGCTACCTTTGCACCTCTCTGTAAGACAGAAATTGCTGGTTTATGAACGAAGAAACAAGTTTTTTTGTGGAGTAATTTGCTCATATCTGGATGGGGCAGGCAGCTGAAGAGTCAAGAAAGAATCCAAGCCTAATTCAGTCCTTGTAGTTTTAGCCACATCCATATTCATTTTCCACATTCTCCCTGGTTTTCATGCAGCTTGCAAGCTTCATTCTTCTCATTAGCAATCACACTCATCCAAGCATTATTAAAAGCACTATTTACCAGGAAAAAAAAAAAAACCACACAGAACACAGCAGTAATTTTTAAGTGAGAAAAATAAAACATCTGTATTTCAACAAATACTCAAGACTCATTTTGATACAAAATTAATCCGCTGCTTATTCAGCAGTACTCAGTCAGCTATCAAGCAAAAACACTGTCACAGCACTAAAAAAAAAAACCAACAACATATTCTGAACATGGATAAACATTCACATAAATAGGGGCTAATACAAAAAGGAAATAAATAACCATCATTGCTGGTTTCCCCAGATCTCCAGCGATCTTCCCCCCTCAGCATCCATAGCAGGTGCTAGTTTGAAAGAGAACAGGATTGGTCTGAAAGACTTTCCCCTCCAGCCATTCTGTTTCATTTTTTGCAGCTTGTTTTAAAGATGCAGACTTGGTCAGGTGATGGGAAAACCAGTCTGGCCCTTCTCCTCTCTTCCCCAGGTCCCTCAGTTTGTTGGAAGTGTTAAAAGTGAATAGTGCAAAGAGTTATCTCCTACTGCCGCGCAGGAGGGCAGACCTCACTCAAGAGACTCCTGTAACAAAGCACAAACAACTCCTTTAGTCACAGAATTTTATAAGGAAGATGGCATTTTGGAGTTTCTAAAACCAATTTTAAAGAAAAAAAAAATCCATCTGACAACTACATGCACCAAACACCATTCACATTCACTTGGCCTATTTCACTCAGCATCTCTTAAGAGGTGACACAACTGTACCCTATAGAAGCTCCCGTTATACATGTCTAGAAATGAAGCCATACAAGGGGGAAAAAAACCACCACAAAGTTGTTAAAGACAAACTCCAGTGAAGTACCCACTGGTCTTAAGCCCCAGTTTCCCACCAGCTTTTAATACTATTCTTCAAGACTCACAAACCAGGCTACAGAGGACAAACTGCACCAGGAGCTGCCCCTGCCTGCCCAGGATCTGGAGATTCCCCAACAGCCCAGAGCAAGGGCATCTTCCCACCAGCTTAATGGAACCTGCACCAAGGATTTACTGCAGCTCCTGCTCCAAGCTTTTAGCACTCAAACACACAAACCCTCCCTCAGCAGTAGCTGCCCAGGCTTTCCTGTGCCACAAATTATGACCCTCAGTTAATAAACTGGTCTCGTTTTAGCAGGCAGGCCTGTAGAGCGCTACCAAGTAGGTATAACACCAGTGGGCTGCCAGATGTTCAAACTTCATGACTTTTGTATGTAATTTTATCATGCAGCCATCAACCTCCCCTCCCCCTGAAACTCCAAGTATTAGCCTTAGTCTGTGATTAACAGTGATTGTAGAACTCAAGGAACAGAAGTCGAGATAACTTCAGTCCTCTCCCAGGGTCATGATTCATGGTCTCAGCTGTTCCACAGACAGAAGTGTTTCAGGTTCTCTTCTCAGGCAAGAAATACAAGTTCCACTGAGTAGCTACTAACATGTTTCCTTCTCACACCCTCTTCCTTTTCCTGAAACGGGTACTTCTCCTGATTTGAGGAGCACTGGCATCAGCCACCTCAGTGCAGGAATCCAAGACAGATTGTGCAGCAATCCCTTCAGCTCCCGAGCCCTGCAACGTAAGCAGAAGAGACTATCAACACCAGGAGAGCTCCCATAACTGCAAAAGAGCCCCTTCAGCAATTCCTGTTGAAGTTTTTCTGGGCAGAACCATTTGTTACGGACGTTGTGGGCACCACCATTCGTTAGAGACGTTGTGTGCCTGCCTCAATTGCTGCTTTAACTTTCACTGCTGGAGCCAGACAATGCCCCCAACAACACAGGTCAACACAAACTGGATTTCTCGTGAAATAGACTCCCACCACAAGCTTTTCACTGAAAAGCATCAGGAAAACAATCTGGCTGTAGCGTTAATAAAAGGAGTGGATGGAGCCTTGTGGGAGGTGGCACAGGACAGAGGCTGGCAATAAGGATCAGGTGGTGAAAAACTGCTGTCGACTTTTGTACCAACTGCTCAGTTCAAACTACACTGAACTTTACCCAGACCCAAAAAGTCAGAGTCAGAATAGAAGGACTGCTGGCTGTTACTATGCGAAAACCCTGATTTTTAGGCAACTTTGCCATCTTTCTATAGAAACAGTCAGTTACATTGTTTATTCATCTTCATTAGCGGTTTGTTTGTTTATTTTGGAGCCACAATGAATTGAAAAGGAACCTTGAGCTACACAACTTTTTGTAAGAAACAGTGCTGGGCAGTAATGGATTTACCTGAAAAATCAGACTGATTTTAGGTGAATGTTGTGGCTTACACCGATCCTTACACTCCGATAATCTCTAGTCACATAAAACAATTTGGGATGAAGACCTTGAATGGCAGTTAAGAGCAAACATACACAGTTCCCTTGATATTACTGTGGATTAAAGGACACACAATGAAAAACAAGGGCCCAATTTCAAACATACAGGAGGCAGCGCAGCAGAGTATAAACTGTAAGAGGAAGGGGGCTTTGACACCCATTTCTGGAAACTATCATGTCAAGTTTAATGTGGTACATAGTCCTCACAAGGGTAAATGCCCGTGGTTTAAGGGCTCCCAGCTAAGAAAGCTTTTTATCAGCCACAAAACCATGCTTATTCAAAAGGACCAAATTTCTGCTATAGTTAAGACCAGTGGGGGCTCCTTCACACCCTGGATTCCAGGGGGGGCAACATTTAGCCATCAGTAACTTTCTGCTTTTAGTCCCTGGTACCTGTTTTACCTGATTTAGCAAATCAGCATCTCTGTCTCCAGGCTCATCACCAACTGTCCCGTCCAACTGTACACCCATGAGCTCATTCCCACAACTCTCTTCCTCAGGCTCTTCCTTCTCACTCTGCCACTCCTCTTCATCACTCTCCTCGTATTGCTTCCTGCTGGCTGACAGAGTTGTTGCCACTTTTGGAGGAGGCAGAGTCGCTAGTACAGCGGGGAGTGTAAAGGCTGCTAGGAATCTGGCTTTCAGGAGGAGGTAAGCGGGGTTGTCCCCCAGTTTCTGCTGCACCAGCTCCCCGATGGCGTGCAAATCAACCCCCGTGCCCTCACCCCGACGGGCATCAGGAGGCAGAAGAGATGCTGCTTGCTCTTCTAGAGCTGCCTTCTGCAGAAGGAGCTTCGAGAGGGTTTTTACGTTGCACAGAAAAGGTGGCAAATAAGGCAACCTGGTTTGGAGCGACGGTACCTGGACACCTTGTTTCCCGCTCAGCCACTCCTTCACCACCCCCTCGTCTTCAAGGGAGACCAGGCTGAAGTCGAGCGGATTCTTTTCTGCGCTGGAGGTGGTGGGCTGGGCTGGGCTCTCAGCAGGCTGTGTAGTGGGAGGTTTGGAGGCAATAGGTCTGTTTTTCAATGCAGCAAAGCACCCAGTGTTCCTTGAGACATTGCTATGGGGAACTGGATCTCCTGGCCGGAGCACAAGCCCTTTTGTGACAATGCTTGGATTGGAAGATGATCCGTTTGTTGTAACGGACTCATGGCTCTTTCCCAAGCCAGTGAGACCTGACACACACTGGGAATCAGCCCTTTGAGTGCCTGCAGGTGGCTGTGTTTGAGGCAGCAGCACAGCACGCAGCGTTGGACCGTCTGCTGGAAGAGCAGCCTGAGCTGCAGAGGAGTCAGAAGCCTTGGAGAACCCACCTGAACATGCAGGTGCTGCAGAAGAAATGCTAGATGTGGTGCTCCCAGGACTTGCTGAGGTCATAGGCAGGAGAGTTGTGGAATGATCAGTTGTCTTTCCCAAAGGTTCTGCTAACTGAGCACTTGGTGCTTTTGTCTCTGCACCACTGGGCTGAGGTGTGTCTGCTCCTGCTGGTGCAGGAGGCACTGCTAAGCTAGAGGCATCGCTGTTGGAAGTCACTGCTGTCTGACACTGATTTCTCACAGCAGCAGCTGGCAGTCCTTGGGGAACACCCACCACCGTTTGTACCGTGGTGGGGAGCAAAGCCTGGGGTGTCACCACCCACGTGAAAGGCAGAATGCTGTTGGGAATCAAACACGAACCAGCTTGGGGAGTTACAAGAGCAGGCAACAAATTGACTGGTCCCTGTTGTGGCCCTTTACTGTTCAGCTCACAGGTAACTGGTGTGGAAAGAGACAAGTTGGTGGTGCCAGAGTCAACGCCAAAAGGCACCACTGTAATCTGACGTGGCACAAAAGCTTGGTTCTGCAGCACTACTGAAGCTGAGCTACCAGCCAGGACCTGACCAGTGCACTCTCCTTGGTTTGGGACCTTCTCTGCTGCAGCTGGATTTGGGCCTGGAAAAGCCCCTCCTTCAGGGCTATTTTCCAAAGCTTGCTCTTTTTGTTCCTTACTGGCTTGCAGTTCTGTCCCTTGTGAGGAACCAGGGCTTTTCCCAGTTTCTGGCACCGATGAGGAATCGTTTTCAAGCACAGCAGTGGTAGAAGTTGAACCTGCAACAGGAGTAAAGGCTGGCAATGGAGCTGGTGCACACTGTACGGGGCTGTTGGCACAACCAGCTGCTGCAGGTTTGCTCACTGCTGGCGCAGAAGGAATGATTTGCTGTGGTGGATGCTGGATGATGAGAGGCCCCGAAACCAGCATCTGTGGGGCAACAAACACTGTCCTCTGCATTGCCTTCTTAGCCCGGGATTCTCGTAGCCGCTTCTCTCTCAGTAATTCTGAGACAGTTTTGGGCTTCTGCCTTTGCCCTTGGGCTGGCAGAGCTGCCTGGATGGCAGGAGAGCTGCTCTCCAAGGCAGCAGCAGAAGTCTCCCATGCTTTTAAGGCAACAGGTCTCCTGACACCACTCCTTGGTACGCCCCTTTGCGATTTCCTCTGAGTAGAAGCTTGCGACGAATTGCCTATAGAGAAGGGGGAATAAAATAAACAAATTAAGATTGGAAAATCTTCTCAAAAGCCATTCCTTAGCTATTAAGCATCAAATGCCCTGCACAGGAGGCAGCAAAATTCCTGTTTGTAAGAGTTCCTACACACTACAGTTTTCATTTAATTAAGCCCCATCCTGACATCCTTCCATAACTCCAGTGCCGTAGCTCACCACTCCTTCAGTAACGACGTTATTTTCCCCAGCAATCACAGATGGGCTGGGAACACACCTTAAAGCTGCACACAAGGATCTGTACTGGTCAGTAGGACACAGGCACTTCACACCAGTCAGGATGACAACAACAAACTGGGGTTTTGGTCAGTGCCAGCACGTTCACTACAGCCAGCACCTTGCTGGAGAGAAGCCCGTCAGTGATGGTCAACAGAACTGGTGGCCCAGTGCCACTGGTCCCCCAGCCCTTCAGTACTTTTTTTTTTTTCCCCAGTCCTTACCAAAAGGTAACATATTTAGCCATTAACTGAAAGATCCAAGAGCTAGCAAAAATGAGCATAACAATGTAGTTTTGTTCCATAAGTTCTCCTTCAGTTAAATTGGTCATTAACGCAACGGTGATGAATTAAGTGAAAGTTCTCGCACATCATAAAAATAAAGGTTCTGGTAGGTACCTGAAGAAGTCTCCATATTTTGGGAAGCCTGCCAAAAAAATTATATTAAATTATACTTCTGAGATATCTCAAGATCATTAAAACAGCACAGATGTGAAGCAAAGCCACATCTGCCAACATCTGGTACAAGCGGCCACACAGCCAGCATTTTATTATGCTTCTGAAGCAAAAGGAACTGGTAACACACACACACAAACATCACCACTGGCCACACACAACGAAAAGTCTCTACTTTAGTCAAGACTTCAGTGGGAAAAGCTTAGAAACAGAGCATGTGTCATACCTGCTGGGGCTGCCTTGTGTTAGCCCTAAGCAGCTCCGACTGCCTCAGCCTTCTCTCACGGATGATCTTCATGCAGCCATTGGTATCAATCTGAAAGAGCTGCAAGATGAGAATTTCATTAAAATTTGATTGAGAAAAAAAACATTCTGGTAGAGCCAGTGACAATACAAGATGGATGGGAGAGGCTTCACATGGGAGATTCTGGGGACATTCTTAGACTTACAGAAAAAATCCTGACAGTATTAGATTTTGGATGCAGGATTTAGTTAAGAAACATCGTATGTGAGTACTGGATTAGTCTGATATCATGAATGAGATGATTAGTTTAAGAAACAAAGATAAACTATTTATTTAAGCATCAAATACAGAAATAAAGATTACTGCTGTTTGAAAGCAGACAATGCTACTGAGACAGTAAAACCTACCTGAATGAAAAGCGTGAACAGCGGGGTGCTCGCCAGACTGACCGACTTAATCTTCTCTTGAATAGAATCAGCTAGAAAAAAGATTCAACATCCAAATCAGCCGGGTAGTCACTTAAAAGATGTCAGAGAGTAGGGACAAAAAGTAGGAGAGTACTATCCCTGATGGGTCACTGGTACCTTTTGTCTGACGAAAAGCCATCTTCCCGGTTTGCAAGGTGCAAGGCAGCAGCACGTTGCCCACCCAAGGTGTCACAGCCATTAGAAGCTTTCTGTCGAGGTTCATTCTCCTCAAACGCTCTCTCTCTTGCCGATACGTTTTCTCCGTGATGTTCTGCAGCCCCTGAAGCTTCTGGCCAGATGTACTAACTCCTGATATTTTTGTTAAAACGGCAGCAGAAGGTTTCAGTATCTTCGATTGCTGCGCATGAACAAATACATAATTAGAGTTCCAATTAGGAAGATTCTACCATAATTAGTCCCAGGAAAAACTATTCACAGGGCAGTTATGAAGAGATCGTGAGCTTTTCCCCTTGGAAATACAGTGCAAGAAGGTATGTGATTCTATCAAAACACATTTCCCACTAAACACAGTCTGCCCGTGCTCGCGTCACGAGAGAGAAGAGGCACTTACAAGTTTCCTCTGAAAGTGTGTGTTGTATCTCAATACTCTTCTCACATTCTCCAGGCTAACCCGTAGCACTTGCTTTCCACACCTGGAAGCCTTAAAATAAAAGAATAAAAGATAAAAGGGAAAGTATCTCACAGAAAATTACTTACACTGACTATACACAGAAGGTACAAAAGTTTTCAACATTCCTGCAGTTGAGAGTATCCTATTAAATGAAATCAGCCCTGAAGTGCAGACAATTACTTTATCTTTTAGTCCTTGTGCAATACCAAATGTCTGTTTCATAAAAGCCTCTGTGTGAAGTATCTACAAAAACCCACACAGGGGGTCAGAATTTATTGAATGATTCTCTTTACGTTTTTTAACTCAGAACAATTTTGCTTATGTGAACTTAAATAGCCATTTAGACATTTAGTATTTTGCTAAAAGGTGCTAAGAGGGTTTGTACTGTTTCAGTACCTGACCTGGGGTGAAACCCAGCTCAGAATCAGATACAGATGCAGAAGTAATTTAATTCTTCCAAACTCTCTAAGCCAAAGTGGCCTAGTCACCAGGGTACGGAGACACCGCAATTCACTGGACAATTCTGCTTTATGAAGATCTAAAGAAAGTTTTGTTTCTGTGATACTACATCTAGGCAAACACAGGTATTTTCTAGGAAATGCATGAGGAGGGAGTTCAAGAAATTCCTCTTCAATCTCACATCTCTGTTTCCAACAGCGCCCCCCGATGGCACAGTGAGAAACAGCCAACAGAGGCACAAGAAATATTTCACCATTTAACTCATCACGTACTCTCTTTACTGCAACAACTGCACCTCCTGGTCCTTTCTGATCTAAGCTCCAATTCCATCAAGAACAGACTGAGAACCCCAGGATTTACCTTGTTCATTACTTCCACTGGATTCTTCACAATGATATCTGTTGAATGTGGACGTGTGATGCCTCTCAGGAGGGTGTTCAACTCTGTCGATGCACCGTCAACTCTGTCCTTGTCTCCATCACACATTGTGCCTGGAATTTCACCACCACTCCCAGGCGAGAAAAGGGATGGAGTTTGGTATCTTCCTTGGTTCGACTCCTGTGTATTTGTCCATGTTGGAATCCACAAATCGATGCTGGGAAGTGCACCCTCCTCCTTGCTTGTTGTCTCCTCCTCGCTTGTCATCTCCTCCTCTGAAGTGTCTGGTAAGTCCAGTTCTGTGTCCTCGCTGCTGCTCTCCGAAGAGCTGGAACTCTCTTGCACGTGTCGGCGTTTTGTTGGCCTAGATCTTTTCTGCTCAGTCAAAAAAGCACAAGTTTTAGACAGTGTTCACTCTTAACCTGCAAATCTGTCAAATCACTAAGCTAAAAAGCTTTATGAGGCAGTATCCTGTCAGTAAGGTGGTACTTCCAAATCTTCTGCTAAGATTACCTACATACTGTGCAACTGACAGTTGCCTTTGGACACAGATTTTTGTTGGTTTAGATTCTGGTATGCAAAGAAAAGCTACAGATGGAGACAAGTTTGTGTTAAGAACTGGTGCACATGGAAGTTAAAATTTCCAGTGCAGAAACAGAGCCCCATCTCGAAACATTTGGGTTTCCATGAACCCTTCCCTAGGGCAGGTGCTTTGCCAATGGAAACAAGACTCTCTTCAACATGGGCTGAAGCAGCCAGAATTTCTGGAGTGCCCGGTACCAAAACTGGCAACTCATGAAGTATGTACATGAAAACCTAGGTATATCCCATCCTTACAGGCACTTCAGGCAATAAAGAAATTCTGGATAATGTACAGATATGTAGCAAATGAACTTCAGACCTTCAGAACAAAGCCAGCTTTAAGACATCAAAAAATTAGACCACAAACATCCACAACAAAATCTTGACTGTGTGAAATCAATGTCAATTTTTGCATTGATTTCATAGGATTTTGCCTTTAGTTTACAGAATCTTAATTAAAGAGATGGGACTGAGACATAGCAGGATTTTGTACAATACCTTAGATCCAATCATGAGTTTCCACTTGCTCAGACATTGGGAGCCAGTCCGATGTGGCAGTTCAGAAGCTATTTTACTCCAGTGACCTAAAAAGGATGCAGAGTAGAGCAACACCAATTAATGCAACAAACCAGGCAACAGGCCTTTGCAGTGCAGAACTTTATACACATTTCCTCATATAAAAGACAGAGTTGGTATATGAGTGGATCTCAAAACCTTAAAACTCATTTGTGTTCAATCCCTTTGTAGCAGTAATAAGAGCGCTTAGAAGAAAGCTTAAACCAAATGTGGAAAAGCTTCTATTTGTTAAGGAAAAGGAAAGTTGTCTTAGAGAAAAGAACTCTTTCACAGGCTGGTTAGAGGGAAACCCACCCCTCTGAACTGTCCTAGCTCTGACACCTTGCTAACACAGCTGTAGAACTCTTTACTACACAATCCCTCAGTAACTGAACTTCCAGGAACACACTACACAATGTCAGGAAGGTTGCAATCATCAGTATGAAGCAGAGCCTGCTATTATCAGCTGCAGGGCTTAAAATAAAAGGGGAGAAAACGTAAATGATAAATTCCTTAATAACACATACTTCTCTAAGAATCTGGAGATTAAGCCATGGAAACACTTACCCAGGCCATGCTTTTCTACCAGTTCAATTAGCTGCTCCTCCTCCTCTAAACTCCACTTGCCTTTCTTTACATCACAGTGCAATGCTTTTAAGTACCTTCAAAATGAAAACATTAAAGTAAGGAACATTCAATCCTGCTTGTACAGCTCTGCTCAGCACTGCATACTCCGAGGCTGAACAAAACCAGCATTCCTTATCAGATTTTCCCCTTTGTCCAAGGGGTCCCATCCCTACTCCCTTCATGCAGCACAGCTACCTTCTCTTTATTCTCAAAAATATCAGGCCACATCATTAAGAATTACAACAAGCAGCTGTAAAATAGGTCACTGAAATTAGGACATACTGTACTGAGTCTCCTGAAGTTGGGTCCGAGGCTGAAAATTGCTCAGCACTTCATTATTGGTGTTTAGTTACAAGAAGTCACTGACTAGATCGTTCTCACAGATACAGACAATCCTGGGATGACACCCTTCCCTCCCTGCATTCACTCATTCCCATTTAATGACCCCTTTGCTTTATTTTGAACATCCTTCCCAACCTCTGCTAACCCACAGGCAACTACACCGAGGGAGTAGCACGCCACGGGCTACAATCCACTGTTCTCTGTTCCACTTTTTACAAAACACCCCTTGAGGTGACACTGGTGTAAGTAAATCAAATATATTTGCAATATAAATTGCATTTTGGCTCTATGTAATAGACTTGAAAGCACAGCTGCTACACCTAACATACTTACCTATCCCTGCACTGAGCGTCGCTTCTCCCAGGCACTTCTGTCCGAATTTTGTACCAGTCACGCTCTCCGTACTTCTTAACTGCAGCCAACAGCACCTATTTCAGCAGGCAAAACAAGAGTTGAAATTCTCCTCAGTAATAATCCCCATAGGCCTGAGACAGAAGCAGTTATATTCGTTTCCACTGCGTTGTAAGTCTCTGAACCCAAGTTTCTTGGAGCTTCTAAGCCCTCTTGACTTGTAAACTGCCCCCACCTTGGTCTGTTTCACATTCCTTTGTGCCACTGGTGAAGCTCAGACCTATAGAGCCATCTCAACAGTCCAACCTCCCCACTTTTTGCACCCTGCAATTCCAGGCCTCAAACAACAGAGCTTACAGCATCTTCCTCAGGTGTCCAGGGTCCTTTCTTCAAACTGGGGTCCACGCTCTTTGTCCAGCGGTAAATCAGCTGAGCAGAATCTCGTCCTTCCATGTAATAAGCAACTAGAAATGCAAAGCTCTATTTTAAAGTCTGTTGCAAACACAGAATCACAGAAGGATATGGGGTTGGAAGGGACCTCTGGAGACCTGTCTGTTTTTAAACAGTGGATCCCCATAAGAACCATTTAAATCTCAGCTTAAATACTTAAACAATGGTACCCAAGAAGAGCATGGCATGCACAAAATGTGACTATTTATAATGGCATTATCCATGAGAGACACATGATGACCCAACAATCCATCCTGCAACAACAGAGAACTTTTAGGAAAGCTTTCAGCTCCAATGTGTATCTGAGAGGTTCCATACACCAGGTGTTACACTCACAGGCTGGGATTTAGGACCCCAGACACTGGGTTACTATTCTCAACTCTGCTCCTCAGCAGTCATGCTGCCTCCCACACGTTTGAGGAACAGGAGTGTCAGTGCTCAGCCCCTAGAAAAGGATTCTGGGCACAGCACCAAAAACTGCCAAAACAGCTGGCCATGACTGAATACTGCCTTTCTAGAGAGAACTCTGATGATTTTGCTACAAAAAACAAAGCTCACACAACCATCAGTACTTGTTAGTAACTCTCTGCCAGTTTCAACCAAATTTCAAAGGTGGATGAAGGTTCCAAGAGACACTAAGTTCTTGGTGATACAATGAAACTTCCAGGTAGGTACAGGAAAGGCATATATCACTGGAAAGTGATATATGGATATATTATCACTGGAAAGCATTTTCATTTGTAGGTCACTTACTTTTCTTGTATGGGATATGACTTCCTACTCTCATCTCTTGAACAAGCTCTAAAAGCATCTGGTCTTCACTTTTGGTCCATTCTTTCCTTTTCAGATCTTTGTTATAGACTTGGTATTTCTGCAAGCACTGGAAAGGGGTCCTGTTGGTCTTAATACAAGGAAAACAGAGATATGCACATATTTGGTTATTTATGAGGATAAAAGCAAGAGGGAAAGGCTGAAGTACCAAACTTTTTTGGTACCGTTCTTGAATGTGTCTCAGAAAAGGGTTAATTAACAGTGAATTAACATTAATTTTCAGACAACTGACACGAGGCAGAATTAGGCCAGAATTAACTGTCTTGTCATTTATTTCTGAGCTCTGAAGACCTTACCCCCAGCTCCTGGGCTATCGCCTGCCAGTCCAGATACCCGTGTTCCGCAGCGATCTTCTTCAGCCTCTCTATTTCCTCCTCAGTCCACTCCTTTTTGTTGATGCTTGGATGCTCCCAATTTTGCCAGAACTTCTTTAGTTCTCCTGAACTACGCTGTCCATCAAACTAAAAGAAAGAGCAAAAATCTGTTTTGTGTTGTAGCTGGGACTGAAACACCTGGACAGACAGGAACACTGATACAAGGAATATTATTTTGCACTCCAGATATGTCTTATTTATAAGTTTTCCAGAATTAAACCATCAAATTTAACCAATAACATAAAATTTTCAGGGCTTTTGTGCCTGCCAGATCACAGAACAGTCAACTTTGAGAAATGCAGGATGGGAGCAGTGGATGCAAAGTAGACCAGGTCAGGTAATTCTCAAGAGAAGGGGCACAGAAATCAGAAGTAATAAAACAGCTGATCTCTCAACTTACGTGGATGTTTGAAATTTTCTCCCAGTCGTGCTCATCAAATCTGTTTCCTAACAAGTCACTTTCTGGGAGTTGACTAAAGCAGAAGGTACAAACAGAAAGAACCACATTAAATGGCTAATTCAATAGACACTTTGTCTTCCTGATCCTGCTGCATCTTATTCCTCCCCACCTATCCCTGATATCCACAAGAACTGAGCACCCACCCACTATCTCAAAGCATCCAGCTCTTTAACAGTCACTTTGCCCAAAACAATCTTTCTTCTTGAAAAGTCCCCTACAAGATGATGTTGGTTTGGCAGGAGAAACTATTAATACAATATCAAAATACATTGCTCCAGGCGTGTTAATGAGCAGAAGCTCAGAACTACTGAGCTCTCTGCTTCCTTATTGCCAAATCAATAACTGCTTAAACCAGCACCTCTATATTGGCTATAGATACTACATTTGCATATCAAGACCCAAAACATGGTTCTTAGTAAAGAACTGTGGAAATTAGAGCTCTATAGAGTTTGAACAGCACTAATTTTTTTTGCAAGCGAACGTAAATAAAGTTGTCTCCAAATGTCATATCTAGAAGTACTGAGGAAGGAGAGAATTTTAAGAGGTAAACTCCGAGAACAGACTTTGATTTTCACCAAGAACATAAAAAGATGACTTCTCACTTAATTGCCTCTATTTCTTGTTCCACTTCTTTGATTTGTTTTTCCAAGATCTGTTTCTCCATTTCAGTCTTGACTTTTTCCAGTTTCTGATTCCAGTAATTAAGCCTGTTCAAAGACATTTTCATCATCACTTAATATGACTAGATGGGAATGAGGTCAATGGCATCAGAAGACGTTTGGCGAGGACGGTTTCCCCAGCAGTCTCTCATTCAAGTCTCATTCTTTCCTTCAAGTTTATTTCCACACAGCACAAAACTGCTGTTGTTCTACATTTTTCCCCACACTGCACACTCGGTGTCCTATTTTTGCCCCTTCAATGCAAATCACTGACCCAGAACGGGTCTCAGGTTAATAATTTTGTTATTTACAGAGAGGACAGTTGCCTCAACAGCAACAAAGACAGACTGTACCAGCTCCAGGCACAGAAAACTCTCGCTGGACACCCCATTACGACTTGCTGCCTATCACAATTTCAGTTTCAAGCCCTGCAGACTATTCTAAGTTATACCACTGTGTCAATGGGAAGAAACAGATGGCAATAAAATGCCACAATACCTCCAAAACAAAACCTTTCCACCTGCCAGATACCCCCAAAACAATCATCAAGTGTCTACAACCCAACCTGAATGCTGTCCCCTATGGCTTATGGTCAGAACACTGCAGTCCAAGACCCTTCAGTACCACGTGCACACCCAGATAATATAGATGTCTACAAAGAATAAAGATGCTGCCACCTACAACAGTGTCATCCTCTGCACTGGCACCCACAGCACAGGGGCTTTTGGGGACCACTGTTGTAATTCACAGAGTGGCTTTCCCAGGCCCAACGGTGACAGTCAAAGTATCTCTGCTGTGTTTTGTAACTGCACCAAATCACACTTAACACAAGAATGCAAGGAAGGTGGAATCTCCAAATATCTCCTCTCCTTCCTCTGTATATAATGTTCTCAGCAGGAGAAAGATTTTTGCCCAGTACTTACTTCAGTAACTTTGGCTGAAGCAGGCGCTGCAAGCTGTCACTTACTACTGATTTCTGCAATAATGTCTTCTCTCTGCTTTTCCCTAGACAACAAGGTAATTGAACATTCAGACATTAGTGCAAAACCACTGCCAACAAAAGAAATGAAAAAAGATATCCACTGCTTTCAATATCACTATTGAAGTTCCCCCTTCAGCAACAGTTCATCTTCATTAGCTACACAATTTTGTATGGCAAAGCAGCCACCAGAGGCTGGGTAAATTGATTCTGTTCTCCACAAAATGACTAATGTCATGTCTGACTTAGGCAAATCACAGCCTCTTGCTCAGCTTTAGTTCCAAAGAGACCTCAAAAATGATCATCATCCAGGTGTTTGCAACTATCTACAGCTGTAAGTGTCCCTTGAACTTCTCTCATCTGAGCACCACCCTTGCACAATCTCCTTTGGTTTCAGAGCACTCACAGGAGTTGTTACACTATGCATCAAAACAAATGGAAATGAAAGAAACAAGTCATTAATCACTCAATGAAACAATTTACAGAGCATCCATTTTAACTACTTTTTTTGTGAAGTATGAACTATCAGAAATGTTGATGTTTAACTGCAAACAATGTGGGCAGGAACTAACAATATGAATATACACATTTGTTACAGCTCTTACAGAACACTCAACAGCACAGAGATCCTTACATTTTGTTGAAATCAGTTGTTCAAAGGATTTTATGCCCTGAGCTGCCTTTTCCTTGGCATCTTCATTGGAAGGAGGGCCCTAATGAAGATTAGATACATTGGAAGAGTCAAATACAGAGAAAAAAAATGCCCTTTCTCCTTAGAACTCTAGCATGATCTGATTAAAAAAAAGAAGGCTGGTAACTCAAATTTGTGCAAACCATCACATTCAAACTTCTAAATTAACTTTATTAGCACTAGCTCACAGATACATCAGAAGACATAAGAAAACAAATGCAAATAGATACTTCAAGCAAGTAAGGGACACATATTATACGTTTGTACCTACTTAAGATGCACTACCAACTTGGGTAGGATCTAATAGAAAAATTACCAGTCATTGCTCAAATACTATATAAATATAAGTCTGGTGACAGCTGACATCTTAACTACAACAAAAAGTCAAGATCTCCTTTTGCCAGCGGCCTTTTAAAAACACATGAAAAAAGTGGTGACATTTGCCTCAGAAAACTCCATTTCAAAGACAATCAGATTTCAATGAGTACTTTAAACAGGATGGAATTGGATTGGGGAGATGAAGACATACAAAGTTAAGCTGAAAACAAGAATGTTCAAGTGCCCCATGGCAGGAATGCCACTCCTCAGAACTCACTTTCAGCTCTCACAGCCAGTCATGGGTTGAAAAAACATTTCCAGAAGAGGGTAAGTAAGCAACAAGTGAGGAAGAAAAGGGTTTCAAACCGAGGAGTAACATTCACAGTTACACCATTGAAACATAACAGTTCTAACGCAGTTACAATTTAAATCCAACATTGAAAGATGTATCAATATGTAATCTAGTTATATTTACTTACAATTCCTGTTGTTTTATCCTTAAAGTATGGCTTCATAAAATGACCCAAAAATATATTTGCTGGTAGATTTCTGCCATCTCCTCCCTTTGCTATTTTCGAACCATCAAGCTCGCACATGATTTCCTTCTGCAATACAAGAATTAATAAAACAGTGTCAGTGTCTCCTTCAAACTCCTTATTTCAGAGAGCAGTGGCTGAGCCATCACAAACATCCCAGGCAGGGTTCAAATCTGCAGCACCAGACCGTAAATCAGTGTAGGTGTTACAGGATTTGGAACTTCCTAAGTTTGTATAGTTCACTGCAGATGATTAAAAACAAATAATACTAACTTTCTACAACAAGGCAAAATATAAGATATAAAATACCCTAGTAGCTGTAGCATTTTTGGTGATAAGAAAGCACAGAAACATTAGTCAAGCCATTTGAAAGGCCAGTCAAGTGACACTGGTTTGATCTGCCATGAAGAAAATGAACCTGCTTCCTGGCCAAGCAAACTGAGCAGCACACCAGTGTGTGCATATGGGACTTTGACTGCTGCAGCTGATTCCACCAGTACCTGCGACGGACCAGGAATGTCCTGAGAAGTTCTACTGGGCTTGATGGGAAGGGGAAGATGGCAAACAGCAACCCAGAAAAGAAAAGGAATTAACATTTTACACCTGTTTTGCTCACCTGCTGTTCTTTGTTTTGTGCAATGAGAAGCTCAACTTCATCAATCTTTTCCTGGATGACTTCCTGGTACACGTGGTTCATCTGCAGACACGTCTCTGGATCCTGTGGCAGACCACCTTCAATATCATCATCACTGCTGTCATCTTCTCCTTCCATCTCCTTGGGGCAAATTAGGCATTTGATGGGGGGAAGAAGAGAGAAAAATCCTTGCTTTAAAAGCAGGTAGAAAAATAACTATGTTACATAAGTTGTTACTTCTATTATCTTACAAAACTAATTTTTTAAAAGAACTGGAGGCACATAACTGTTTGTCCTCCCTGGCAGATGTTTTGAACTCTCCCAGAGGCAGTTACCAGCCTTGCCCAGCTGCCCTTCGCCCTGCTGGTTAGTTCAGCCTGCTGCTGTTTAAACCAAAATGTGACTCCAAACTTCACCAATGCCTGGTTTTATGCCACCAAAGGCAAACAGACTTGCAAGACGTCTTAGAAGTACTTCCCCCCCTCATGTATAAACCACTATTCTTCAGGCACACAGCAGTAGATTTCTTGATCACAAGCTGATGATTTCTTTCTCCTGTGCAATCGCTCTGTGACCTCCCCAGAAGCCGGTGTGTTCCCAGTGACAGAGCTCAGCAAGGCCTCTGATCCCTGTCATTTGCTTTCACGTGAAGAAGTCTCTCTCTTACACGTGAATAACAAAGTCCTTGGCAAGAGTAAGGAAACCTCCAGGTCCTTTATTAATCCTTCCAAGCTACAGAGTCAAGCCAGCTGCCTGGATCTCCCCAGAACTGACTGAAATTCCCCGTCCTCCTGCTCCCTTCAACAGACAGATGGAAAATTAAGCTTAAAGAGAAAATGGTTACCATTTCAGCAGGAGAATCTGAGTCATCATCTTCACCATCATCTGTTAGGCAACAAAAATACAAAAAATGCTTACTGCAGTGGGATTAAAAAAAAAAAAAAAAAAAGCTTCAAAACCAAAGACTTTTCAATTGAAGGAATACAGAATAAAGCCCCGCATCAGACATGACCACTAGAGGTTTCCAGTACTGCCAATATTGTTAAGTAAAAATTGTTTATTTATACTCCATATATGCACTTTTTTGTTCTAGAGTAGGAGAAAATAGCAGTTTCTGGTAGCTACAGCAATAACCAAGCTGCGTCTTGGCCCTACACATCTTGGTACAATAAAGGCTCCAGATTATGCAGCCAAATGAACATTCCAACCAAATAAAACCCACAAACTTTGTAAGCACCTGACAGCCCTTCCACGCTCTTCAGCAATATTTGAGTTTGCATTCAGTTTGGCTGCAGAGTTCTAACCTACGTTATTTGGCTTCATGTGATCAAAAAGCAGGTGAAGTGACCTCGACAGCCACCATAGATATACACCACCCTCTCCTTGCTTTGAAAAATTTAATTTTATGAGGCACGGGCAGGCTGTGACATGGAGGGGCTGGAACCAGTTTGTGTTGTCCATTCAGATGGTGTGAAACAGGCTGTGATTTAACTAGTCACAGTATCTGGGGGGCTGCTGGGTTTCAGGAGTCGGCTCCTCACCACCTTCTCTGGCTGGAGACCTCCCTCAGGAGCCGTGACGGCTCCCTCCCAACCTTCCCCCCTCGCTTCCCGTTGGTTTCATCACTAAAATCCACCAAACACCGGTGCAAGAGGCTCAACCGGCCAGTCCTGGATCCCAGCACCCTCTGTGCGCAGAAACGGCGGGGCTAACACAGAAACGAGACGAGCCACCCTCCCGTGAGGCCTGGAGCGCCTCTCAAGAGCCGGAGCAGCCACCGAACGGCGTAACAGAAGCCCCGGGGTCGGTTGGAGAGGGGCGACCCCGCCCCCCGCCGTCCCCGAGCTGAGGCTGGAGTCGGCCACCTCCATGCCGGCCCCGCCGGGCTCCAGGCTCCGCTCCAGCTCCTCGATCTCCCGCCGGATCTTCTCCCGCTCCGCGTTCAGGTCGAGGGGAGCGGGGGACAGCGCTGCCCCGGCCCCGGGAGGGCGGCGGGCCCCAGCCGGGCCCGGCCAGCGGGACATGGCGGCGCTGAGGCCT